TTAATTTTCTGTGTTAAAAGGTACAATATAAACAACACAAGAGCAAACTAGCAAGAAGTTACCCTTTATGTGTGTACTGGGAGATTTTGCTCCTTCAGTTTCTAATGTATTGGAGAGACTTTTCTACAAATGTTGCTTTCAGGAACAGGAATCTGAAATGTTTAAATTTTCAGCTAAAGGAATTCAGGTGATGATAGTCTGTGTCTCTCCAGTTTAAGGAGGGGAATAAGCATCAGTTTCTTGGCATTTAGAAACTACCTTAAAATTCTTATGGGTTTTTTAACACTGAATAGGATTTTAAGTACAATTTTAAAAAGTTAGGTAAATGAAGGGAAAAGTTTTCAAAGACGGACAAGAAATAACAGTTACTAGCTCAGAGTCAGCTTTGTGTTTGTGTATGCTTTGTGTGGGAGGGAAGTGTCAGAAACCAAATTGAAATACATCCATTCAAATGCTGCTGGTGTTCTTTATTCTTGCACATTTTTAACAAGTTGAGGTAGTAGCTAAGCTATTTCAGGCTGTATTTTAATGCTGCTATTTTTCAGTGTATAGCTAAGGGCAGAATCCAGCAGTGGGGTGCCCTTCCTTGCCAGTGCCACTGCCCGCCTCGGCTCTGGCGCCGTCGCGCACACGCGGAATCGTCCGGCACCACGCGGCCCTCGTGGGCTTGGCCATGGGGTGGTGGAACCACAGAGGACATTCATGGGAGGTGCAGGATTTTTACAGTTCATGAGTTTTACCTGTTTAAAACTGTTTTATGGTTGTTCCTGTTTGTTTTCTATGAGTTTATTTGAACAAGGGGACTGTTCCTTAAGGCAGACCTGGATCTCCAGATTAGTTTGTCACCTGTGTAACACTGGAAGGCATCACAATGTGTTCATTTACCTTCGTGTGCCATTCTTTCAAGTGTGTATGAAATGTAAACTGACCAGTGTGGTTTTAGAAATGTTTAAAGGCTGATGGCAAAACCCCAACCTTCTCTGATTCCTCACTAGGTAATCCTTTTGTTTCAGTGCTTGGTCACCTACTGGGATAATTTTACCAGATGTGGCATTCTTCTTATGGAAGTTTTAGTATAAAATGGGAAATGTTTTAAGAAAAGGTCTTCCCCTTTCTCTTTTTACTTTAATTCAAGATGACAGGGACTTGTAATAACAGAAGACCAACACATTTGTCCAGGAACCTGGGGGGGGATTTGCTTCTGTTCCTTGAAGAAGAAAAATCTGAAAGGGCAGTTCCTCGATACAATCAAATTAATCAAATTCTCCTAGATAGTAACTTGTTTATGCCCTCTTAAATTTCTGCTCCAGGGATGTTTTTCTTTGTAGACTTTGCTAACACTGTCCTACCACCATTAGTGAAAAATAAACATGGTGCCATTCCCTTCCTTTAACACAGGGCCTGTACAACTGAGATACTGGAGCCTAGGACTAGTATTAGCAATTCTCCATTTGGAACTAGGATGAAATAAATGTTCATGTGTGTTCTGTGAGCTTTCTAATTGAAGAGAATTAAATCCATTAATTGCCCTTAAAATCAGCAGAAGCTATAAAGGAAGCACTTGTAGTTAATAGACTGTTCCTTAACAATCATTAGGCAATGAAACCATCACAAAGGGAAAAGGGAAGCAGAATTAGGAATTGCTCAAGGTCATGTTGCTTGGGACTAGAATGAGGCTCTCATTTTGAGTTACAGAATGTGGCTCATGCCCTAGATAACTGAGCAAAGGCTCTTTTGCCAGTAAATAAACATGAACATGGGAGTGCCAGGAGTTTAGCTACAGCAGCCTCAGAGTTCTGATGTGCCTCGACCCCTCTTTCTTGCTAGTGAACATTCACAGTTCAGTGCTAAGAAAACAAAGTTTATCACTTGCTCTCTACCATTTCTCCCTGAGGCATCAGCTATAGCACCTGTTTGTTAAACTAGGTGAAACCACCACAAGGAAGAAGAAGCTCCTAAACTCCTAGAACCACAAAGCTGGACTATTGTTTAAGCTACAAGTCTGTTTTTGGGCCGCCAGGATAAAATGCCACAACAGCTGTAATGACAGAAGTGTTGGGGCAGTAGGACCAAAGCAAACCTGAGTCTGTGTTGCCTCAAGTCTCCCTTCTGTGACCACATCATTAGATTTATGCCTCTCAGGTCAAGCAAATTCATAAATACTCTTTTTGAGAATTATAAAATTATTAAATTACCCCACTGTTGAGTCTCTTGCGTTACCATCTTACAGTGACATTGCTGGAGACCACTGCAAAACATGCAGAGGTTTTCACATCATTTTTTTCCTGCTGCCATGTTTCACCTCACAGTAAGACAGGTCCTTCCTTTCCCAACAGAACCACTTCACATCTTCCTGCACTGTAGCAAATACCACACTGAGAGATTCAGTTTGTAGCAGAGCTACAGAGCAGAGCCCTGGAGATAATTAAAATATTTCCAGTCTTCTTGTGCAGAGTGAACCAGGTAGTGCTAAAGTTCAGGGCTCACACCGGGCTGTGTAAAATTCTATTATTTACAGCTGTTCAAGCATATTTGGGAATTAATATAATTACAGAGTGCTCAAGCCTAGTAGAAGTGTTTGCTCTACTGCTTCTTAATAACAGTCATGTTCAAATCCACTTGTCAAAAAAGGTTCACTAGAATAGAGAAAGTTTTATTTTGTGCTAGAGCTTTTGCTTGTGTAACTGCTGTGGTCTTTTCCTCTGTGGTAGGATGTTCTGAGACTCTGAGACATTCTACAGAAGAGCTGTTTTTCTAATCTGCAGAATGATTTATACCACACGGCATTTTGTAGCCCTGTGGATGTACAAAAGGGCAGGCTTGTGTACAAAACAGCTTCCTGCCTGCAAGGAGACTCCAGCAGCTTCCTGGAGATGACCCCAGGCAGGGTCACAGCAGGCCCAGCCCACCAGTGAGCAGAGGCCTGGCTGCTGCTTGGGTGCTCCCATCTCCCCTGGGCCAGCTTGGTGAGGCTCAGGAAGCAGCTGTGAGTTCCTTCTTACTGCACCCAACCAAGTGATCAATTGCTGATCTACAGTAGCTCAAAATTCCTCTATTTTAGTCCCAATTTTGGGAGAAACAGGGGCAGTGCTAATTTGGGATTACACAAATAGCTGAAAACCAATCTGTATCTAAAACCTACTTCATATGTAGTAGGTGGTAATGTAAAAGCTGCTATAGCAAAAGGTCATTTCTCCACAAGAGCCTTTTCTATTCCCTGCCTTTTTACTGCTTCTTACAGCCTAAAAAAAGTCTTGTCTTGGGTTTCACAGTCACATGCAAAACTTGCAGAATCCTGGATAAATCTTAGCTATGCAGGGACCAATGTTTCAGGAGTAATAAGAGTGATTACCAAGGTAGCAAAAAGAGAATAAGGAATTGTTGTGTTGGGATAACCGAAAAGCATCACAATGAAACGGTGAATTTAAAATGATCTCACAACAGGACACTGAAATGTTGTCCTTTCTGTGTCTGTCCAGCAAAAAAACCAAATCAAAACAACTCAGCCTTCTCTTGCCTATGGAAGTTGTGTAGTTTGTTCTTATCTCTAGTATTATAAGTGTTTATAATCCATGAAGAATTCCAAGGAAAGGAGTTAAGACTATTTATTTAAATATAAATACAATTAAATTATATAATTAGTCCTAAATTATCAGATGTAGAAGACAAACAACTTGTTATTGTTTGGATAATTTTGGGTTTCATCAGAGCTAATACTGTTGGCATTATTTTAAGCACTACCATGTTAGGGAGTCAGTTTTTGACATTTTATCCTGCTGTTGGTAGTGCTTCAGTATCTCATAGTGCTCAGTCTTGGGGAAAGAAAACCTAATCCTAATAGTTTAATATGGAAAGGTGTTGAAACCATACTGCTAAACATCTCTCAGTTTAGGCCCAAAGGGAAGGGGAAAGGGAAAAATTGTCATTCTGGATTTTTTTTTAACTTTCTGAGAAAAGTGGTATGAAAAAGGGATCCAAGAACTGTATTTGGGGGAAAAATGTCTTAAGGCATTTGTAGCCTTTCTTTGTACACAATGTTAAATAAAATCTCCTGTATCTATGTTGTCAGGTTCTTTTGGTCTTATTTAGATAAAAGTGGGCCTGCATTACACTGAATGTGTGGATTGTATTCAGCTGAGTTTGCTGGGAATTTAACACAGCTGTTTCAAAAGAAAAGGTGTTTCTTGTTTTACAAGGTAAAAGCTGTATCACCTAAAATATAGGATAGTACAGAGAACTAACTGAAACAACTTGAATGTGTGGAAATAGTTTACATGGAAGGTAGAGGAATAGCTGAGCAACCCAGTCCATGTTCAGGTCTGTATGAATCCTTTTGTAGGAGTTCTGCTTCAAAACCCAGCCTGTCTCAGACTTTCCCCTTGTGTGCAGAGCACTTGAACTGTAGTTAGTGTTTACTAAGAAATCAGCTCTGGCCTCCAGTTCTGCAAACACTGCATGAAATTAGTGGGATTTTGTAGGAATCAGTGTGGAAACTGAATCAGTTATTTAAATCCAGTTAACTTGGTGCTTTATTTAAACATTGTTTAAATTATTAATGTAATTAAAGTACATTTATGTTTGAATATAGTCCAAATTTAATATAATATATAAACCTTTCTACAATAAAAAGATACTTGCTTGAAAGCTCTCTAGCCCATTTCATTAAGCGTGGATCACAAAGATTACAGGGTTCCATTGCAACATTGGAAGTAGATAAATGTAACTAAATGACTACAGTGTTTAAAACTACACTATCATGCCTACTCCTGAACTGAACAAAGGAGAAACTCAATGACTATTATGAATACTTCTGACCAGTGGTGTGGCTGTATAATACAAAATAGTTTTCCAATAGCTTCAGTGTGGAATTCTGCCAAATGCTTCTCCCTCTCCCAGAAAGTGAGCCCTTGAAGGGCAGCCACGTGGAACAGCAGCCCCTGGATGAGCCTGGAAGGGACCGTGTCCTGCAGCAGGCACTCTGCACCCAAACCAGCTCCTACCGTGTCCAGCTCTCCACTGCCTGCCGGCCTGGAGCATCCCAGCCACTCCTCCTGGATGCTTTTCCCCGGGTGAGCCTGGAGCAGGCCTGAGCAAAGCAGCCGGCACCTGGAACCTAAGGCTGGAGCAGGACAGAGAGAACATGAGTACAATAACCAGGATGCTCGGTGCAAACTGCTCCACCTGAGCAGGTGTCTCTCCATTTTGCAGACAGTCTGAGGCTTGGACAGGCTGCCCAGGGGCTGCAGCTCCCCTGAGGCTGCGGGATGGAGCTGTTAGTGAGAGGCAGATCAGCCGTCCTGGCTCCGAGAGGCATTTGTGTGCTCTTTGTTAGAAGCCTCCAGTTATGGAGATTCTGTAATCCTCCAGGGCAGGCTAACCCAGGACTGACCACAATGAGAGAGCTCTCCCAGCAGACAGCTGAACCACTCTCGCACACGTTACAGCACACAATACTGCCATTTAACGCATTTTTTTTCAGCGACCTTTTAAGTTCCAGAACCAAGATCCAAGGCATGTGCACTGTCAGCTAGCAGCTTGTCCATTAATTCACTGAGCTGAGCGGCTGCTTCCTGCTGCAAAACAGAAAGCTGAGCCCTTTGTGGGCTACCGTGAGAAACACATTGTTCAAAACAAATGCCGCCACTTTTCACATCCTTAACACACAAGTAGTGCCATCGAAATGCCATTTTTTAGCTGATAACTTAAAAATCAATCCAAAGGTAGAAACGGGACAACATTTTGCTGAAGGTATCATGGAGCAGAAAATGTAGCAGAATGACATTGGCCACAGTGTAGGGAAATAAATATATAAACAGCAGGATTATTACTGAGGCATAAAGGAGCATTTCACTGTCAAACGAGTGCCCCATGTCTGTGCACTGCCTGCCAGGGGAGTCCTCACCAGGCAGGAGAGGTGGAGTGACACAGAAATGTGCAGGGAAGGGCATCTCGATGAAATTGGCTTTGTAAGACACAAACAGAAAAATTTTCCCACCACCTAAATCAAACGATGTTGCAATATCTGGCAGCACACATCCTGCCAGTTTTAAAAGGAATTCTGATGTGATAGAGATATAATTTACTTTGATTTATAATATTAAAAGTTTAACTTCACCAAAGATAATGAGGAAACTGTAAATCATGCTTGCCCTACCAGTCTGCAACCTACAAATTCCATATTCCTGTGGATTCTATTCCTATGAATTCTAGGAAGGAATGTACCTCAAGGGAGAGAACATGCAACTCAGTCTTACACTGAAATGTTTCTTTTGCTAAAACAGCTGAGTTAGGAGAGAAGCTTTAGCCTGAATAGATGGAAACTTTTACAGGAATGTGTCAAATCAGCACATTTTCTTCATTACTGTGTTCACAGCATTTCCCAGACAGTGTCTGTAAATACAAACGCTGCTGTACCTCCCACCCAAGCACCCACGCTGCAATTTGGGGTTATTAACTCCAGTTGCTGGTTATTCATGACAAGTCAAACATCCTGCACAGTGATGGGCTACAAAGCTGAGCTTAGTTTAGTGCGTTTGAAGGGAGATCAGACTCTGAACGCTTGTGTGCATGTGAGTTCTTGTCACCTAAAAGAAAGCAAATCTATTTCCTACCACAATGTGCTGCTTTTGGCTGGGGTAAGTTAATTTTCTTCGAAGTGGCTAGTACAGACTATACTTTGGGTTTGTGCTGAACAATGAAGAAAACTTTACCCATTAAAGCCAGGACACACGTTTAAACATCTCCTTCTTACTCGAATGAAAAGCTGCAATTATAGATCTGGACAGCAAGGCACAGGTTTATAAGACCCACAGCTCCCTGACTCACACTTACACCTCCTGCACTGTGTGCACTTGGCGCCAAAACTTAAAATATGCATGCTTGTTCCTCGGCCCCAAAACCCCCAGAAATTAATTTATTTTTTCACCAGTCCTAGATGCAGGCCCTGGGCCGGGGCTGTTGCCACCCTCGGCAGCGGAGCTGGGGAAGGGTCTGGAGCTGGGGAAGAGTCTGGAGCACAGGTGTGATGAGGAGCGGCTGAGGGAGCTGGGGGCTCGGCCTGGAGAAAAGGAGGCTCGGGGCACCTTCTGTCCCTCCACACCTTCCTGACGGGGGGATGCGGCCCTGAGGGGTCGGGGTCTGCTCCCGGCAACAAGGATGAGAGGAACCGGCCTCAAGCTGCCCCTGGGGAGGTCTAGGTTGGACATGAGGAGTAATTTCTCCACAGAAAGGTTAACCAGACATGGGAGCCGGCTGCTCTGGGAGGCGATGGAGTCACCGTGCCGGGAGGTGTTTGAGGAAAGACTGAGCGTGGCGCTCACTTCACGGCCGTGTTCTAGATGACCTAGCGGTGTTGGGACACAGGTCAGGCTCTAGCACCTCAGAGCCTTTTCCTCCCTACCTGCAGCCGTTACCCCGCGATCCGGCGGCTCAGGTGCGGAGTTCTAGATGACCTGGTGATGTTGGGACACGGGTTAGGCTGTCAGGCTGTACCGCCTCAGAGTCTTTCCCTCCCTACCTGCAGCCGCTACCCGGCGCTCCGGAGGCTCAGGTGCGGAGTTCTAGATGACCTGGTGATGTTGGGACACGGGTTAGGCTGTCAGGCTGTACCGCCTCAGAGTGTTTTCCTCCCTCCCAGGAGCCGCTACCCCGCGCTCCGGAGCCTCAGGTGCGGAGCGGCCCCGCCGTGAGGGAGGGGCCGCCCTGAGGGAGGGGCCGCGCCGCGCACGCGCCGCCCGTGCCCGCGCCCCGCCCTTTCCCCCTCACGGCCCCCGGGCGCGGGCGCGTGCGCGGTGCCGCCAGGGGGCGGGGCGGAGGCGGGAGTGAGAGGC